TGCTATCCAAAGAAGAGTTTCCTATATAAAACATAAAATTTGAGCCAATAAAAGTGAGGAACCCCTCCAACTTCCCCAAAACTTGGTTTACATCATTTTTGAAGCCATGAGAAAATGAATTGTCTATAGAAATGCCATTTTACAAAATATTCAATCCGTTATTTGAGTCAAAATTTTAGATAGTCTTTATTTTTTGCCGACATCTACAAAAAATCATTTTTTACGTCCTAATTTCCGAACGAAAAACCAACTAGTTCCGAAGGCCAATACTTTGGGTCCGCAGGCACTAACTTTTATTCCGCGAACACTTGAACACACTGAGATTTCAGTTGATATCCTGATTGATAGAACTTGATCGATCGATGTGATAATCTTCAAACTAATATTCATTTTTCTGTATATGTGATTGATTGACATGCAACCAAGTCGACCAAGCATGTGACTACTCATACCTACTTGAACTTGCATAATATATCCTTTTTCATTTCCAGAAACATGTTTCCACCAAATGTAATGGAGGCTTGTATATTCCAGGTATGTATATATATATATCTTCAAATGACACATATATTATTGATGGTGATTTCGATCAAGAATAAAAGTTCAATTTATTGAAGAAAAAACAAATCAAGGTAACGCTTTGACTGAGGAAAATAAGGTAATCAATGATGTGTGTTTCGGAATGATTCAACTGTATTTTCGACTATTCAGAACTCATCAAGTATATATAAACAATATTCATTGAACCAACTCATCATATTAATTTGTTTACTAGAATAGTGCATGATGAAAGTAATTCGTATATTTTTCATCTACACATTGAAATACATCATCAAGAACTCTGAATAACCTTCATAGATATCGGGCTGTCGGCAAATATATGGAAATCGTTTTGACCGGAAAACTCGCTTTCAATTTTTCTTCACATATTTATCTGTTTGTTTTAGACCCGCACAGACTTGACATCACCGTCTCCAAATGTGACAGGTAAATTTCAAATGTTTATACTTATATTTACTCACATATAGGTATGATACCACTTGCACCTGACACCGTTGACTTCATATAACAGAAGTTTTGATAATCCGAACTCAAGTTGTTTTACTAAAAGGATCATTACTCACTTTACAGTGGAAATGAATATATGTGTAGGTATTCAATAAGTCAGCAAAATTATAATTCTATACAAGTTAATAGGTGCTTGTATTCTTTTATATACAGAGGCACGATAATCCATATTTATAAAACACTCTGTAGTCCCTGCATATCAATTATTAAGACGGTTTTGTTAGAATCTATATAGTATTTTTTTAATCACCTTGTTGATCATAATATAAAGTTGACGTAGGTTTCCAATGAAAGATCCTGTATTATTTAGATAAACTAAGAAACATTCATATTATTGCAAGCGACATTAGATATATACACAGTAAAAAACCGCTTCGAGTGAAATCCGTAGAGTATGTTTTTAGAGTTGAAATACTCTGACAAACTTACTCTAATACTGCAATCAACTCTATTACTACACTTCTCGCAGATTATCTCCTTCGAAACTAATTCTAGATTGAATTTTCACTATTCTCGTATTGAATTCACTCTATATTCATGAAATTTCAATAAAATATCAATTCAGATAACTCGATCCACAAACAATTGAAATTGAATTCATACTAGTGTTTATTGACACTAGTGAACTCGGATATTCCTCTGTTGTCGATTAAATTGACACTCTATCATTGTTCAATTCAATCTATATACGATGAAATATCAATCTATACAGTTTCAGATCGTTCAGTCTACTAGATAGTGAAATAAGTGATACAGATTATAGTGTCGAAGATATAATGATCATGATATTAGCTTCAAGTAGCTTTTTTACTATACCCGCGTAGTGAGAAATTTTTTTCAACATTGAGTTATGAACGTATTTCCGTATACCTATCTCAGTTATTTTCCGTCTTTTCCGTTTCGAATTATTATTTCGAACGATTTATGAAACAGATATAGGTTAACTAAACGATTAAAATATTATAAAGTCACACTACTTCTCATCCGTCAATTCTCGCCACTGCATAAAGGTGGCGCTGCGGAGACTTCGCCGCTGAACGTCTGTCGGGGGCCTATAAATACTGTGACATGTGGAAGAATGGTTAATTCAACTTCGATGAAATCTCAACAGGAAGTAGTGACTAGTTTACTCAACTAGTGTACTATATCAATCTAAAATGATGAATAAATGATAACTCCTTATTAGCACCTGAACAAATAGTAGTGTTAATTTGAACAATGCAGGAGCAATTTGACATCCACGTAGAGTAAATAATTCAATCAATTTCCGGTGGATCCGACACTGTTCATAGTGTGGAATCTACTCTCTACTATTGTATTACAACTCTAAACTTTTGTGACTATGTAATATTCGGTTATTGAATTTCACTCTAGACTCTAGAGTGATGATATTGACACTAGCTTGGGTCTTGAGTGGAATATTCACTCTCGTAATTGTTTCTTTCAACTCTATTTTTGTGTTTATTCAATATATTTAGAGAAATAAATAGAGTAAGTTTCAATGTGCTTGCATTGAAAATTTACACTAATTGAATTGAAAAAATCACACTATAATATACTAAACTATAGAGTTAAATCATCTACTCTAAAGCATAGTGGTCTTCCTGGGAACAGGTATAGTGTTGAATTTCACTCTATTTTTTTTACTGTGTACTTGAAAGTGCAATATACAAGCTGTTATTCAGTATTTAATCTACTTTCGAGGGGTGATTTTCTAGGGATTCTAAGACGCAATGATCATGTAAACGAAGGTCCTAAAAATCAGTGTTCTCAAAATACATTCTGTAACTTACATTATGTATTTCCAGACGAATGTTCAATTGACCTGATGTTCGTTTCAGAATCACTCCATCCTGTATTTCAAAATTATTAATCAAATTTGAAAGTAGACAATAATTCATAACGATTTTCTCACACATTTCAGACGTATACAAATACAATATCAGCTTCGAAACAGTACAGAACACCAACATTCTAGGCCTTGTAGTGGTTGCTGCAGCGCTAGGTATAGCAATCGCCCAATTAGGCGAAGAAGCCCGTACAATGGCAAACTTTTTCCACAACCTGATGTCAGTCAGCATGAAGATTACATCGTGGGTGATCTTCCTATCACCAGTAGGAATATTTTTCCTTGTGGCGGCCCAGGTATTACAGATGGACGACATAGGTAAAATAATTTATAAGTAGCGAACGTTATTTCTACAGGACGAGTCATGATGAAGAAATAAACTATAAACTTTTTGATGTAGGAAAATGGCAGCGAAATTTCACGACGTCGATCCTGGATTCTCTTAATGATTATGAATATGTCAATCGATTGACAAGGAGTGGTATATGATTTCATGAGGGAATGAAACAAATCGCTATGTTGTCAAAATCCATAAGTATGTTATCAAAGGAGAAGAAACTCTCTTTGATGGTCATTTGATATTCAACCAAGGATCATCTGAACGTGGTCAGATTATGATGGATTATGTTTTGTCACTCATGATTTTATTATAAATTTAAAACCTGAACTGAACGGACAAGATGTTTCTTATACCTTGTACATGAGAGGTCATAACATTCCACCTATGGCTTGATGGAGAGATTGATAACTAGTTTTTGAACTAGAGAAATCAAATACTTTTGTTCCTGAAATAACCTCATAGCACAAGATATGAGTTGTGCTGTTGGAAAAATTTGAGAAAAATACTGGTCAAGCGGAATATATTGAAATAAAACAATGTTTTGATAAAAATGTTATTATCAATGTACCAAATCATGATAATTTCACAACAGCATCAATTGATTGATTGATTGATTGATTGATCGATTGATTGATTGATCGATTTTCTTATATGCTGGACCATTGTGAAGAAGGATTTTCCTTTTTCCTTCAGTGTTTTCATTTAGTGTCATTATCACCACATCATCAATTTTTAGGAAGTGTCATGAGCAGGCTAGGATTCTATTTCGGCACTGTATGTCTTGGATTAGCGGTCCAAGGATTCATCGTGTTACCGCTGCTATATGTGGCACTTACTAGGAAAAATCCATTCACGTTTATTTCAAATATGGGGGAAGCCATCGCTACAGCATTTGGAACTGCTTCAAGGTATGCTGCTATACACGTCATTTCGAAGATCATCGAAGATATAGAATATGTCTTATATACTGTTTCTGCCAAATTTGTTGATTATAACGAGCAGTAAGACAAATTACTGAGCCCTAAAAATATTATCGATGATTTTTTAAATTTTTTACGAAGACTTGTTCATTGACAAGAATATGAGACTAAAACGATTGATTGAATCACGAGTCCGTAGGACGAGCAGTTGAGTCTTTACTCTTTATGCATAATTTTGTTTCGATAATTCGATGTAGATTAGCGAGGACCATGCAGTGAAATCAGTATAGTACCGAATGATTGGCTAGAATTGGGTTTGCTTGAAACAACTACGAGAATGTCACATTTTGACATTCCGCGCAAAATAAAAAATAAAAAATGTATGCTTCGTCGTCAAGAATGAAGAGTCATCGCAGGTTAAATCCTCTCCTCATGAATAAAAGACATTGAGAAGTTGAGAAGATGATTCATTGAAAACAAATGAGTATCTCAGGAGACGACTAACTAGAAAAAGTAATTTCTTGACGACGAAGCAAATATTTTCTCAACTGATACTTGGCGAAAATAATCTATTTATACATCATTGTATTCTGCAATGAAATCTCTTCTAGAATAAAAATGGAAAAATACACAATGTCATTTGAAAACAAAGTTGACAATCGTTGTTGTTTGAGATGAAATTGGAAAAGCAATTTTCCGTGCCGCCTTGTAGTATCTGATAAGTCAATTCGATTGCATTTTTGTTTTTTGAAATCGAATGATGATCACCGGCGCTATGGCTTAGGGCATTACTGCTATATATTATTATATTTCATGTACTCCAGGGGTTTGAAGGGTACTTTGAATCCCTATTTTCGGAAAAAAGTGTTATTTATATATCTAGGGATTCAAACTACATTTCTTATCCCTAGGGATTCAAAGTGCCACTTTTTTTCTCTAAATCTGGATCACCTAAGTTTCTGAGGTCTTCGATATGGTATAATCAGCTTCTTCGATGACGTTTAAGAAATAGAGTACTTACCGTTTAGCGGCCCTTAAGTTTTTTTTTTGTTACTTTTAACGTTGTACCTATAATAGTGCATTGAATAGTATATACACCTCAGGACTGAAGTGTTTCTGGATCCTTCAACAAATTATAGACCTCCGGTGATTCTTCTTATTATTAGGGAACCAAATTTCCCCAAAAATTTTATTCCGGTGGAAAATACACTTTTTTCCACATCTACTTGTGATGTTCGATCCAAAATATAAAAGGAATGATGAGAATGATGAATTGAATGTTATGGTAGGTACTCCATATCAAGAAAGAGGACTATTTTTATTACGCAGCAGACTTCAAAAATCGATTCATCTCGAAAATGGTGGGTGCTATCGAAACTAAACAAAAGGATATTTCTCACGTTGAAATGATGATATTTTCATATCTCCTGATGGTCAAACTGCCGAAGATTGCATAGAATTAAAAGTTTGGGGAAGAAATGCCCCTAGTCTCACCTATATTTTTCACACACCTATTCAAAATTTTGGGAAATTCTAAAATTTTCATATCAGACATAAAAAGTTATACATATAGATGTATCTACAAAATTTCGATACTTCATCACCCCTAATAGCACACAACGTCCTAGGGACGTCCCTATTTGGCACAATTCAAGTTCTAATGTCCCGGACCAAGACAAGAATAAGTGTCCTTGGGACGTCTTATCCCGTACATCTCATGCAATGTCCGAGCAAAGACGTCCACGGATTGTCCCAGCGTGGTACATATTGTAGAATGTCCATGCCCAAGGACGTCCTTGGCATGTCCCTGATAGGATATGATTTTGAACGTTCCTTTAGGGACATCCATCGGATGTCCCGAGTAGTACATAATCTGACATGACTTCAGATCTTTTATAATGTCCTTTCTAGACAATCATGGAATGTCCCTGAGGGTGCGTTCCTTCAAATATCTCTGCACAGACGCCTTTAATATTTCCAGGATCTTACAACAATCGAAATGTCCCTTTGAGACATCCTTTGAATGTCTCTTATGGATATCCGTCGGATGTCTCAATTGGTACATGACCTGTACTCTTCCAATGTTCTAGAAATAACATCCTACAGACGTCCCAGTCGGTACTTTCAATATGTTGTCCCTGCGAGGACGCTAACTTACACCTCGCCGATGAATGATTGTTCGTAGGCTATGAATACTCCCCGTCAATGTCCTTCACGTGAGTCCATTGGACATCCTTGGAAAACTTTTCAGGATCTATTGGGGACCTTCTACGGACCATCAACTCAACTGGATGTCCTCATCAGTTATGCAAGATTTGGTCCTAGAGGGACCCAGAAAAATTCAAATTCAGCAATAATTCGTACGTCCCTGGGACATTCTATGGATATCCAATTGGTATCCCTCAGCGTTGCTGATAGGTTCTCCTACGGATATCCTACGGATGTCCTTCGTAGTGCTTGATGAGGAATACTGTAGGATTTAGGTATTCGATAGTTGTCCCGGGGAAATCCCTCAAGGAAGTCCCTAGTTGGTCCAATGGACGTTCACGGTACCAAATTCGAACGTCCTAATGGACGTCCTGAAGGTCTCGACAGGACGTCCTAAGGATATCCATGGGACATAATTGTGTTATTAGGGACAGACGGTTTCGGAAATATTTACAAAAACCACCATATGGTGCTCTCTTTCAGATAGTCATTTCTGGGCTCATGTTTATATAAACTTTCTCACTATTTTTGTTCCTAGAATGTGTCATTGAAATTTCTCTATGTAATTATGGGACACCCTGTATATCTTGTTGACAGTTCAGCTACGTTACCGCTAACCATCCGATGCCTCGAAGACAAAAACGGCGTCGACCGTCGCGTAGCCCGTTTCGCCCTCCCAATTGGTTCCACGATCAACATGGACGGCACGGCCCTTTACGAGGCTGTGGCCGCCATCTTCATAGCCCAAGTGAACAACGTGCCCTTGGACATCGGCACCCTCATAGCCATCAGTATCACAGCTACGGCCGCCAGCATAGGAGCTGCTGGTATACCCCAAGCAGGTGTCGTTACCATGGTCATGGTTCTGGAGACCGTCGGACTGCCCGCCAAAGAGGTCGGACTCATCCTTGCCGTTGATTGGCTGCTGTAAGTGAACTCCATCCAACGACTACCACCTCAAGGTGAAGGTCAATAACACAAAAATACTGAGTGACACAGGAGACTTTTTTATTCGAAGAGATGAAAATTTGGAATTCACAAGGGATACATAATCGATGATGGCTCTCACCTTGAACCCACCGTTATTTTTTTTAACCACTTGTTTGATTGGAAGAAGACCCAACTTGATTTTTTTCAAATGGCGCCCTGTACATTTCTGTTGTTTATCTTAAAATTGTGCGTTTTGTTGACGCTTACCCAGTTCTGTAACATCTATTTCATGCGTTTTCTTGACATATTCAGCTCTCAAGCTCCTGTTTGACATTGTTTGGCATTCGTGAGAACTGAACTTGAATACGCCCTTATTATTTGGTCACCAGGCTATAATGCCCACTTGAATAATATCGAGAATGTAAAGAGACGTTTTTTCAAAGCAATATGTTTTAGAGTAGATGAGGAGTATCCTGCACATTATTTCATTTCATTACATACCTGTATTATATATATATATTTCATTTCATTATATGTCTGTACCAATTTTCGTCATTTGAATATACAATGTGTCTGAGAAAAAGATTAAAAAGGATAGGTAATCAATATTTTTCAACCTGATAATTCTTCACTCAAAATAAAAAGATGAATCAGGATCACTTGGAACATACCTTGTACCGATTTCTATCATCATTAAACACAGGGTGTTCGAAAAATCGAATTAAAATATTTTTTTGAGTTGATGAAAAAATATTGCCTACTTTTTCTTTTTAATTGTTTTCTTGTTTCTTTTCGAATGATGAAAATCGGTACAGATATGTCAAAAGTGATCCTCAATGATAATGTGTCATCAATTCTTCTCAAAAATATCACAATACTACATTTTCTGATCACCTATTAAAAAAAAACATCATTCGTTTCTTCGGATATCCTGTGTTTTATGATGATTAAAATCAGTGAAGGTGTTTTTCAAGTGATCGTGATTGAGAATCCATCATTGTTTTTTGTGAAAAAAAAATCCCTAATAGTACTTTCTCAAATATGGGTCAATGAAGTTGGTCGCAGTTGGCCACGATTACAGTTCATGAGTAAAATCACTCTCTTGTTGGATGGACATTTCAAATACCTATCCAACAAAAAAGTTTTTTGAAATCGGTCAGATAATAACAATTTTACAGGGGTGGTAAGTCCTTAAGGTGGACACACTGTATATGGTAGTTGTGATCTAATTGGACAATTATGTCGCTGCCAGAAGGATTTTTTCATTGAGGATTCGTGGATTCGAATGCATGCAGAGAATGATATTACATGAGGAAACTCATTCATATTTCATTTGCTGAACATTTTCAAAATTTTGTCACAATTTCAAAAAGTGAGGATACAAACATGAAATTTTTTGATCTTGAACAATCATTGTATTCTATTATAATTCGGATTAATTCCGTTTTCTTGCACAACCATTTTATTCTAATTTTGAATTGACTCGGCCGTTAATTGATGGAAATCCATGGCCATTTTATTCTATTCCACAAGTTTGCAACAAAACGCACCTTATGTATCACAATTTGATGTCCATCCATTAATTGGCTGTTAAATTGCATTTAATTTGAATACATGAAGTTGGCTGTGGCCAGGGTGAGTTTAAAAAAATCATCCGAAAAATACTCATGATATTATGACGATACATCGATTATTACAACAATTTCAGTTTCATGTATCCAAATGGATGATCATATTATGGCTACATGACAAAAAAGAAATAATAATAGTCTCTTCACAAATAGCCAAATGAGAAAATCTTAGTTACTATCTTAGTTTCCTCAATATCGTGAGTTATTTTTGGATGATTTTTTTAAACTCAATGAGATTATTGGAAATCTCTTAAGTCTAAGTGATGATCTTTGGATTTCTGAGCCTATCAAGCATCGAAATGTCATTGCATTTGGGCCACAACCAACTTTATGTATTTCAATAAAATGCAATTTAACAGCCAATTGATAAACGAATATCAAATTGTGATACATAGTTTAATAGAGAATTTCAAGGCAAATAAGATAGGCTACACAAATATACAGGGTGTCATTCGAAAAAAAGGTGGGTCTACTTCCGATCAAACAGGTGATTGAAGAACATTGGCTTGATTTCAAGGGAAGCGCCATCATCCATAATATAACCCTTTTGAATTTCAAATTTGTATCTCATCAAATAAAAAAGCTACATGCTGTCACATGTCTCCTGTATCACCTGGTATTTCAGTGTTTGTCAACAACAATGCATCCCTATGATACACATGGTGGGTTGAAATAGAGTCGAATTGCTCGAGCCATATATGCTAGGTAAAAAAATGATTCAGGAACGAATGTGATCTAGAAAATAGGGTTAATGACCACAGATTATTACTGAATAAAACTAAAGAGAAGGGCAATAATATTGACCAAGTACCGAGAAAATAACTGTCGTAACAACTATCAGAGATGATAATTTTTATATCATTTGACAGAAAACTGTGATATAGTGCTCATTAATTTTCATGCCATCCACCTGAACAGGAACTACTTGGTTTTTCATTTTTGATTTTATTTACACCATGTATATTTTTGACCTCATGATGTAGGATTTAGGACATGAATTTTTCTTGTGATTTTTTGATTTATTATTGCATTTGGATATCTGAAGTTGGTAATATCCACTTATACAGTCTGTCCAAGATAAGGTTGAACAGCATGGGGATCTCGAAAACGGTGAGAGATACGAAGTCGGATAAATGTGGAAAAAGTTGCGCATTCGGAGGCTCATATCAAGAGCCTTCGAAAATTTCAAAAATTATTTTTAGTTTTTGAGTTATATCGAAAAAAGTGAATTTTTGGAATATCTATTTTATTTTTTTTCGTCGTTATTATTAGAGATACAGCAAAACTGAGAATATTTTTTCATGGCAACTTTTGATGACGTTCAACGTGGTGATACCGATTTTTTTATGCGACGTTTCGTATTCGTGGAACTATCATCAACTTTTGTTTTTTAAATACGGTCCTGATAATTTTTCCATAGATTCTGAAAGGTTTTTTTATTCTGAATTCAACCATGTATTATACAAAGTGGTTTATGTGTGTTTCGACCTATTTTCAGCCATCATCAATGTTTTTTCGAAATTCCAAAGAAAAATGCCATCAGTTCCACTTATTTTGAAGGAAAATTAGTCAACACACTAATACCTCATCAACTGGTTTCAATCAACAACCCATTTCATTTTGCAGAAACAAAAATTCCGTCCATAAAAATTCAGAATATGTCAAGCGCTAAAACCAGGCGATGACGAAAGGCGCAGGACATTCTGTGAGTAGTATACCAGGAAATGTTAAAATTTTTCAGATTTCTTTCGAACAATCATCTGGACTGATGAAAGCATGATCACTAATCATGGTAGCTTCGTTAAAAAAATACACATTATTGTTCACGAGAAAATGAACATTTATACATTACAGCGAGACACCAACACCGTTTCGGCTTTAATATGTGGGTTGCAATATTTGGTACACGAATTATTGTTCCTTCTATTTACCATGAAACACAGACTTCCGAACGTTATAGAAATTCGCTTGAGAATTATCTTGAGAATCTCTGGATGATTTAACGATTGCGGAAGTTCAGAACTGTTGGTTTCAACACGATGGCGCTCCGGTACATAATTCCAGAGAAGTCCGTGCGTTTTTATCCCTTGGCCGGCGCGGTCGCCTGATTTGACACAGCTGGATTTTTTCTTAGGGAATATATCGAACTTTGTACACGCAACTAACTTCGATGATGGAGAAGAACTAAGGGACAGTGTCTTCGAAGCATTCAATAGAATAACCCCAGAAATGCTTAGCAATGTCTTAGAAGCAACTGTGAGAAGAGCATATCTTTGTTCAGAAAATAATGGTTATCATTTTGAACATTTGTTATAAATGTCTCTGTAGGTATTGTCAAAGTTGAGTTGTTAAAGTAATTCGTGTAAGAATTCATCAACAATTTTAAACGCTGCATTGATCGAATGATGTAGTGAAATATTTTTTATTCACTTTTCAGTATTGAATAACTAATCCATCAAGTTTGACACTAAATGATCAAAAATAAGTGGAACTGATGGCTTTTTTCCTTTGGAAGTTCGAAAAAACATTGATGATGGATAGAAATAGGTCGAAACACATTCGAATCACCTTGTATAGTACATGGTTGAATTCAGAATAGAAAAACCTTTCAGAATCTGTGAAAAAATTATCAGGACCGTATTTAAAAAACAAAAGTTGATGATGGTTCCACAAATACAAAACGTCGCATAAAAAAAATCGGTATCACCACGTTGAACGTCATCAAAAGTGCCTATAAAAAAGTATTTTCAGTTTTTCTGTAACTCTAATAATAACGGAGAAAAAAATAAAATAGAAATTCCAAAAATTCACTTTTTTCGATATAACTCAAAAACTAAAAATAATTTTCAAAATTTTCGAAGGCTCTTGATATGAGCCTCCAAATGCGCAACTTTTTCCCCATTTAAGCGACTTCGTATCTCCTACCGTTTCCGAGATCCCCATGCTGTTCAACCTTATCTTGGACAGACTGTATATTTCTATATATAAAAATACCGTAGATTTTTCTGTAACTTCATTTCGTGTCCCTATGTCCTGTTATCAAAATGGGATTTTTGTATATGCTATTACCCAAAAAAATCTAAGACGAAACAAATATAAATTTAATAACCATCTTAAGGTCATCAAACATCTGTTACACTGTTGATAATATCTCAACAAGTTTTTGTTTGTTAAATGTCCAGTGAATGTTCGCATATCTCAGTGGTCCAGTGACCTATCAAACAAATGTTTTGTGTAGTAAGAGATGATATATTTCAATTATGACGTTGGTAGAACTCCATTATACAGGGTGTCCCTGAAAAGTATTTACAGAAACTCATCACATATTCATCACACCGAAACTATTCGATGCAAACAAACTTACCT